CCTGAGCATGTGTTGTCCAGTAATGGTATTGTGTCCTTAAGGAAAAGATTAGTTGTCTGGGAGACTTACTTTTATATTGTCACCTGATCCCAGTGTGGTTTATCCTAGGTGATCATGATAATTAGAAGTTGCGTACCTAATTTGGGCATCAATAAGGTTAATATCAACTGCAGATCCAAATATATGTAAGTCCATGAGATCATAATAATTCTTTGAAACAACAGAAAAACTATAAAAGGCTGTCATTGGAAAATACTGGTGAATTAATTATTTTGAAAACTGGCAAATAAGGAGAAAAATTCAAACATTTATCTTGTCTTTCCTATATGATCACTACCACTGATTAACCACAGATGTGGGGAAGTTTTATTTTATAGAATTATTGCAGAAAATACTTATTACAAAATAATACATAAATACCACAATTTTGAAACTCTTGATTAATTACTTGGCCATGCCAGATTATTTTTTTCCAAAATAGCCAAATATTTAGGTCCCAGAGTCATGACATCAGATGAAGTCTATTGCTCCTCTCCTTGAAACTGGAGGATGATTTTAGCTTCCTCAGGGAATGGAAATGAGTTTGCCACTATTTTTCCCAGTGTGCCCTGCCCAAACTTAAGGAAACCTGAAATTCAGAAATGAGCACAGGGCACAGAGCGGGCTCCAGCAGAAGCTAGTTCTGGTATGTATGTGCACAGGCTGTGGTGGTCCACAGTACTCAAACTCTGAGGAAAAAAGTTTCTTCTCTGATCAAAGGAGCTATAGTTTCCAAGACTGTCGGGGGCAGATCCTATTACTGGTTTTGTTTGTTTGTTTGTTTGTTTTTGTTCTGTCTTTCTGCTGCAGGGCGCTGCACAAGATCACATCCATGGGAAATATGCATCATAGTGGGATAAGTAAAGATTCAGTTTTCTGCATGGAAGATGGAAAGGAGAACCTAGAGGACCAGAAAGTACTGGAGAGAAAAAAGAGCTTAGGGAAATGAGCCCATGGAGTTGTTTATGGATTCAAGACTTACCCCAACTGGCTCATCAGAGCTCTGACCCTAAACAACACATCATAGTCAACCACCCAGGTCCCAACCTGGCTTTACAAACGGACTTGGCATTGAAACCACAATCTCCAGAAGGCTGGTTGGAACTTGCGACTTGAACCTAACCAGTTTAAAGGCCTGCTAGAATAAACTTATTAACATTCTTTACAAGATTTAAACAAGCTTCAGAGTTTCATAATATTATGTTCAAGATGTCCTCAATATGATATAATATTACTCAGCATATGAAGAACCAAAAAAACTCAACTAAATAATTCCTTACCTAAACTTCACACAATATGCAAAATTTAACTATAATCGGTCATAAATCTAAATATAACAATTTTAGAAGAAAACATTCATGACCTGTATTTAGGCAAAGAGGTCGTACACATAACAACAGAAGAACAATATAAAAAACTGACAAAACTAAAGAGTAAGAAAATAACCCAATTAAGAATAAACAAAAGACTTGAACAGATAACTTCATCAAAGAGGATATATGGAAAACAAAGACATACAAAGATGTTCAGTACCATTATCCATTAGAAAAAATACAAATATAAAACTATAATGAGATACCACTACACATTTAACAAAATGAGTAAAATAAAAATTCTAATAATCTCAAGTGTTGACAGTGACGTGAAGCAACTGGAAAGTCTCATACAATGTTCATGAGAACGCAAAATGGTACAGCCACTCTAGAGAACAACTTAACAGTTTTTTATACATGGACTATACATGGAACTATACATTCTATTGCCATGTAATCCACTAATTCTACTCCTACATATTTACCATAGGAAAATGAAAATGTATATATAGCCAAACGCTTGTATATAAATATGTATAGTGGCTTCATTTGTAATTTCCAAAACCTGGAAAAAACTCAAATGTCCTTCAGCAAGTAAATATATAAAGAAACTGTGGTACATCCATACAATGGAATACTACTTAGCAATGAAAATAAATTATTGATGCTCACATCACTTTGAAAAAAATCTCAAAAGCTTTGAGCTGACTGAAAGAATTTAGCCTCAAAAAATTACATATTATGGAGCTCTCAAAAAGACAAAACTGTGGTGATGGAGAAAAAAATCAGAGGTTAAAATGACCTAGGAATGAGAGGAGATATGATTATAAAGGAATAGCAGGAGAAAAATTTTGGGGGCAATGGATTTGTTTGGCATTTTGATGATTGTACTTTAAAAAATCTATATATATGTTATAATTCATAGATGTGTGTACCAAAAATGGTAATTTTAATGCATGTTATTATAAAAGATTTTTAAAGAAAAAAGAAAAGAACATCCAGACCATTACCTTTCTCACTAACAGATCCCTAAATTAGTATCTTAGAAACACTAGAGTTTCATAAGAGATAAGTATATACAAATGGCCTTATTACTATCCTACCTTCTACTCAAGTATATGATAATACTTTTTTCTAAACTTTATTATGAACACATGATTTGTTTAAATTTGTCTTACCATGGAAAACCACAAATTTAGAGAGATGTGCCTCTCCCTCATCAATGCTCACAAAATAAATGTCAGTTCACTTGTCTTTGCTCTTCATGGTACCATCCTCATGGTAATGAAAATATGATGGGAAATATTAAAAGCACAGAAAAGTGCTGTTTGAGTACAGCAGAAGGTCTCAGCACATTACTGTTTCTCCAGTGGCTAAGACAAATTCTGCCCGGAATGCAACAGGATAACAGTTCGAAGCAGGGACTTATGCAAATGGCTGACAATGTACTATGGTTCTTCTAGAGCAAGAGATTCTGCACTTTAATGATGGGAGAGAAAGACACCACTGCCATTCTGAGAATGCTTCTGAAGAAACAATGTCTGAAAACTCTTTGGGAATTCTAAATGAGAAGTACATTCATGCTCGTTTTAATATGTATATTCCTTCTACCAAGAAGTGATGTCTAGTTCTCTTCCCCTTGAATGTGGGCTGGGCTTGGTGACTCATTTCTCACAAGCAGAATAATGAAGAAGTGACAGTTACGTGATTTTGGAGACTAATTCATACAAGCCACTGTGGTTTCCTATCGTCTCTCTCTTTCTCTCCCCTCTCCCCCTATTCTTCATTGTCTCTTAGATCACTTACTCTGTGGCAAGCCAGCTGCCATGTCCTAAGGACACTATGGAAAGGCTCACATTGAAAAGAATTGATGCCTCCTACTATGAGCCAAATGAGCTCTCTTGGAAGTGGATCTTCCAGCCCTGGTCAAGCCTTCACAGACCACTGCAGCCCTAATGACCTCCTAACCACAACATCCTTAGAAACCATAGGCCAGAAGTACTCAGCTAAATCACTCCTTAATTCCCGACCCTCAAAAGTTGGAAAATAATAAATGTCACTCAACTAAGATTGGGGGTAACTTGTTTTGCAGCAATAGATAACTAATACAACCACTGCGCTGATGTTAAACTGCTCTTTGATTTAGAAAGAAGAGGAAGCAGAAACTGAGATCAGGATTCAGTTCAACGTCTTTACCAAGCCAAGTAACACTCAAATTATCTGGACTTCTTTCCCTGGAGGCCAAGGAATTATACAAAGATGTAGAATATTTCTTAGAAACATTTTTGAAAATTGTCTTTCTACATAGACATCCTGAGGCTGATAATCCTACCTGGCAGTTGAGGAAGCTACACTGAATATCTCACCTACCTCACAATAGGAATTTCCAAACTGCCATTTTATTAAGCAGTCTTTTAAATAGGATATGTTGTATAAGTTGTTTCAGAATAGAGTCTAGCAAAGGAATATGCATAAGGTAGGTACTCAGTAAATGTGTTTTGGTGTTATCAATGGACTGCTGTGTTTTTTCTTTTAATTAGCAAACACTGAGCTCATACCCAAGTCAAAAAAAAAAAAAAACAAGCCAAAACAAAATCTAGAAAAAGGTTAAAATCATGCCCTTATTTCCCTGCAATCATGCATAGGAAATTTCTTTTCAAATATAGACCTAGAATTTAGCATATGCCATGAGACAGTTGCATGATAGTTACTCTAAGAGGAAAGTGTTTACCGTTAGTATCTTCTAACACTGAAAATCTGCCCAGCAACTTACAAATCAACAAACAGAAAAATATGCTTTGGCAGCATTGCTTGTTGCATTCTTTAAAGGGAAAATTGAAAACAGGATCACAAGGGTCAGATGGTTATTATTGGAAGCTGGCTCTTATAAAACACAATACATACCATTTCCTTCATCTAAATTGCATTGCTTTGTCCAAGCCACCTAATGGGGCCCAGGATAAGGTGTTTTTCTGATGTGGTACCACCTCAGTTTCCAAAAGCCCATCCATTTAAAAGTGGGGGCCTGAAAAACACCAACAGTGACAGAAAAATGATATATTTTTTGTAACCTCAGCATCACAGAAAATAGTTCCACAAGAAATGGCTTACAAAATAAGAAAACTTTATTATTAAACACATATAGTACTATTCAGCAAAATCTGCTGATGGCAACTTCCAAAACTAGGCCATTTAGAGTGTCTCACTCTACATTATGATTTTAAGAAACTCTGAACATTTTATTGATTGAAACATCTTTATGACATTTTTTGTGAATGGATCTATATGTCAATAAGAGGAAAACTGTTAAAGTACCAAATAAATAGCAACTATCAAGGAGGTAGAGAGAGAAGGTACAACAAAGAACAATCAAATGGAGCCACAATTTCACATAAACCTGCAGGTGTGGTTTAAGAGGATTTCTAAGGTCAGCTAATTACAAAACTCTGTAAGTCTAACAACTGGCCCATGTAAGCTATTAACAAAATGTCTCCTGGATTCCCCAACTCTAAATACCTCTAATGCCATCTTGGTATAAGTAGTATGAGCAGGTAGTTTGTACCTTTAACAAAAACTGAGTCTACACTAGAGAATGTGGTGTTATTATTTTGAAAACCTGGAAGGAGAAAAACTATTAGTGCCTTTTGCTGGACCCCGAACAGTATTCCTCATAAAAGTTTGTAGAAAATCATCTTCCACAAGGAGGAGGCACAGGGCTCTCCCCTGGGTGGGAAGCTGGTTCCTGGTGTTGCTTCTTGGCAACCGCCATATGCCATTGATGACTTCTCTTTTCTTCCTTTGTGAGGGAGACGACATCATGTTTTAAAAAAGAAAAAAAAAAGCAGGGCAGGGAGTGGGGGAAAAGGCAACATTTCATATATATTAACAGTATCTGCAAATTTAAATGGAGTGGGAAAGATGCATGTGGGGCCAAGATAAGCAAGTGTTCAGCAATCCATTTTATTTCTAAGAGAAAATTGTGATTTCATGTCTCTGAGAAGAAAGGGAGAAAAGTTAATACCTATCTGGAAGAAAATGAAAGTTTCCATTAATTAACCTGGTCAATGCTGTTATGAAAGAACCTTTCTTCTCAAAGCAAAACTAGTCTACTTACTACCTGTTCCCCCAGGGGGTGCTTTCCCTCACTTCTTGTGCCAGATATGCCTGCCACCTCCTCCGATATTGAAATGGAGGCCCAGCTTCTTCCTTTCTGACCACACCTGCGAAGATCACAGCTTCGCCTGGATTCATGCAGCCCTTGGTTCTTCATCTTCACAGAATCAGGCACTAGACAAATGGGTAATCGACACCTGTGAAACAAGGCATTAGAACCATAGGTAATCAACCGCAATGTAAGTAATTGAGTGCCATAGGAAATTAGCACACAAGCTAATGTCTTTGTGAAATTCCCATAAGCCGCTCAGACAAACTTGAATTCTTCCTGAGCTAAAGGGCTCACTACCCCTGAGGGCAGTATATTCCACCGTTAGAAAGTTTTAATTCTTAGAAAACACTTAACTATATTAAGCTGAAATTGTTCCCCCCTGGGATTTCTTCACATCAGGTTCTATTTTCACTCCCGGGCTCCAGAACAAATGCATCTTATCTATGTCATGCCTTTGTCAATGGAAAGACTGCTGTCATGTCCTCCATGACAATCTTAGATCAGTGGTTCTTCTGTTGACATTTCTGGCAACACTTCTTGTAGTGTGGTGCAAAAACATTATCATCATTTGAGGAGAACATTAATCATGCGAAATTCAGGAATTCCTTGTTTGAACCTACTGAATCAGATTCTATGGGATGGGGCCCTAGTATCTGCTCAGGTTTAGCAAGTGCCCAGATGATTCTTAAATTTACCACAGAATTTTCTCTAAACTCATCACTCATCTCTGGATGGGCCCTTTTGAACAATTACTCAACATTTTCCAGGAGTCCATGTGTAGTCTAGGTATTATCTTATAAACACTTTAAACAGTTCAAATTACAGTATGAAAGAAACAAAACTAAACTTTGGAAAAGGTCTACAGTCAGAGCTGTAATTAGCTCAGATGGCATTCATCCTGTGGACTAAGTAGTGTGGTGTCAGGGTGCCTCAGTGCCTAGCCATGCACTGAGCTAGATAACTTTGAGTGCTGCCTACTCAGTCTTTACTACCTGCAAAATCCCTGTTATGTTTGCATTATACAGATGCAAAGACTGACACTCTGAGAGAGGATGAGTACTTTATTTGTTCAGTATCAAAGGGCTGGGAAATCAGAATGTAGATCCCTCTGACCCCAAAGATTATACTTTCTCCCCCACTGACCCAACCTAAAAGTACCAAAAGGAATACTTATGATTTATGTAATATTATTGTTGATACGATCCGTTAAAGACACTGCTAAATGTTTGAGCAGAGAACATTTAGGGAAGATTATGTTATTTTACACTTTTGTTTCTGGCTCATTCACCAGACTCCTGAGTGACATATTTAAGATGTAATTGACATCTCTACAGTGTGATGGGCAATTACTTGCCATTCCCTAGCTCAGGACTCAACTCATCCAAGTGAATGGGCTGTGATAAAGTGATACTTAAAATGGTGCTTGAGGAGTCCAAAAATATAACCCACAATGGTGCACAGGATTGGAAACTTTCCCCCTCTAACACTGGTCTGTCTACAAGGTTATTTTTTATTTTTGTTTTTATATCCTTACCTGAGGACCAGCTTATTGATTTTAGAGTGAGGGGAAGAAAAGGAAAGAGAAACGGAGGGAAACATCGATTGGTTGCCTCCCATATGCACCCCAAGTGAACAGAATCCACAACCTAGGTTTGTGCCCTGACCAGGAATTAAACCCTCAACCTCTTGCTTTATGAGATGATGCTCCAACCAAGCAGTACCAGCCATGGCTTTATATGGCAGCAGGAAAAAAACACTTAATGGAAGTAAGTTTAGGTACAATAAGCAAGAGATAAAACATCTGTGTTAAAGGAAAGAGTACCAGCCCTAGAAACAAGACTTTAATTGGTTCATCTCCTGACCACCACCCCAGGTCAATATTTTGAGCAAGCAGACAAGACAAAGCTACCCTCTACAGAGACAATTTCATTCACTTCCCACTCCATGAGGGAAAACTCCAAGCAAGCAAAGACACCCACACAAACAGCTCATATATTTATTTAGAAACTTCCATTCCACTGTGGAGAAAAAGTTCCTAGTGAAGACAGCCAGTGGCTCAGTAAAGATGAAGCTGTCAAATGAAAAGAAATCACACAATTAAGAGCGACACAGGTCACAGTTCCTCAGGCTCTCATTCCTGTAGTGGGCATGAGGGGTACTGCCCCCAGTATCTACCTCCTCAAATCTATGAAGCAGAGCAATCTCAGCTCAGCCCTGGGCCATAAATGCAGCGTAAAAGTTCTGGGGGACTTGAACCTACCAGCATTGCCTGACAATGTTAAAGATGTGAACTTTGTTTCCATCCAAAATTTCTTTTCCTGATCTCCTGGGAATAGCAAGGTTACCAGAAGAATGCCAGGAGGTGTGACAACTACAGAGAAAGCAGAAAACAAATAATACCTAGTGCTCCATTTATTTGCAGTAACAGCCATGTTACATTATAGTAAATGGGCTTTGCTAATCTCCATTCTGGCAGGGCCAAATTGGAACTTAGAAGGAGTCACAATGAAGAATCTTTGCAGCTATTTCTGGAGACAAAAGCAGGCCAACAGCAACAGAGGCCATGTTAAGACAAATGGCCCACTCTAGCATGGCGTACCATAATGTCACTGCAATTAGACGGATTAGAGGTTATAGTTCGCCACAGATAGCCATAGGATATCCACCGATAATCACACATTTTGTTCTACTGACAGGTAACAGCAGTCCGCAAATGAGATGAGCTTCCTCTGTGTACTCACGTTACATAAAATCAATACTTAATTACAACAGGGTCTGTATGTGTTATTGGTAGCCAGTTGTGGTGAGGAGGCAGGTACAAGGCTGTTCTTCTAGATGGTGAATTACAGTGAAAGAGGTTGGTGTACAATGGCAAGGTAATACCCATCCTACTGACCATGCCTGAGATTTAGATTTAAATGAATCACTGGATACTAGGCTTGGGTTGGAGAACAGAACCACGAGACATGAAAAATCTTCCCTTACAGGAAGAGCAGGTTCTGCCTCTATGGCAGTTGCTAAAATGTTACTACAGATCGCATTTTTTGTGTGTATGTGCAAGACCCATGATACAGTCCTGGGGAGAAGTGGACAACATCTGAGGAATGCCCCTACAGAGAAATGTGTGGCCAAAGGGAAAGAACAGAGAACAAATAATCAAGTGATCTGAGATATTGGATCCTACCTCTGCTGCACCTAGAAGCTGCAAAATACCTTGCAGTTCAAGTTACTTATCCATAAAAATGAAATGATATTTCTTCTATCTAAATCAGAGGGCTACTGTGAGGATTGAGAGGAACCAGATAGGCAGAGAATACTTTGTAGACTTAAGCCTCCAGACCATCATAAGCGATTTCTTTTTAAAAGTGATACGACCTAGGTATGAAATATCATTAATAATCAAAAAGAAGTAATAGCTTCATTTATTAAGTTTCTGGTGCAACGGTAGGTGAGGTCACAATTGAACCTACACACACAACAAAAGAATAGAGGTGAACTAACTTGGAGAAGATATTCCAAGTAGAACCAAAGGTATAGGCAGGGGAATCTAGAAAGTTCTTCCATAATTCATCTATGTCTTGCTCACATAACACCAAAGTAGAGAGCATTCTACTTGAAAGCTGTATGTTTGAGATGTTTGAGCAGACTTCTGGCCACGATGGAGGCATACGTAGATACACTTTGCCTCCTTGCACAATCAAAAGAAGGACAACAACAAATTTAAAAACAAAAAATAACAAGAACTGCCAGAAAATCAAACTGTATAGAAGTCTGAAAACCAAGGAGTTAAAGAAGAAACATTCATCCAGACTGGGTCACAACCCAGTGACCTGGGTTACCCCACCCTGACGAATACCTAAGGCTCTGCCCCTTCCAATGTAACAGGCACACTGAGACGAAAAAAAAAATATATATATATATGGCCCAAATGAAAGAAGAGATCAAAGCTCCAAAAATAGAACTAAGCAATGAACAGATAACCAACCTATCAGATGCACAGGGCAAAACACTGCTAATCAGGATGCTCACAGAAATGGTTGAGTATGGTCACAAAATGGAGGGAAAAAAATGAAGGCTATGCAAAGTGAAATAAGGAAAAATATACAGGGAACAACAGTAAAGGGAGGGAAACCAGGACTCAAATCAATGATTGAGAACAGAAGGAAGAGATAAACATTCAACCAGAACAGAATGAAGAAATAAGAGTTCAAAAAACTGAGGAGAGACTTAGGAACCTCTAGGACAACCTTAAATGTTCCAACATCTGAATCATAGGGTTACCAGAAAGAGAAGAGGAAGAGTAAGAAATTGAAAACTTATTTGAAAAAAGAATAATGAAAGAAAACTTCCCCAATCTGGCAAGGAAATAGGCTTCCAGGAAGTTCATGAAGCTCAGAGAGTCCCAAAGAAGTTGGACCCAAGGAAGCGCACACCAAGGCACATCATAATTACATTACCCAAGATCAAAGATGAGGAGAGAGTCTTAAAATCAGCAAGAGAAAAGGAGACAGTTACCTACAAAGGAGTTCCCATAAGGCTATCAGCTGATTTCTCAAAAGAAACCTTACAGGCAAGAAGGGGCTGGAAAGAAGTATTTAAAGTCATGGAAGGCAAGGACCTACATCTAAGACTGCTGGACAGAGATCCAGCAGAGCTATCATTTAGAATGGAAGGGCAGATAAAGTGCTTCCCA